TTTCTGCTTTAATTAGTAACTAGTAAATATCTGATGGAGAATAAGATAAAATATTAAGTATTGATGTAATTCATTAATGAATTAATAGTTGGAAACAGTTTTGGATCTAATTAAATCTGTCTAGGTTTTAACATCAAGTTGACTTAACAAAATGGTGATATAAACTGGGGGAAACAATCCTGGTAGGAGGTATTCCCCTAACACTTCAACCACATCCTCTCAGTAAGGTTGGCAAATAGACACTTACTGTGCTTACAGATTTCTGGGCACTAACTTGGTGAACACCCTGGACTCAGCAGTTACTTTTCTTTTGGATTGTCTATTTTCTATAATAATTATCTAGATCTTATGTTAACATGAGCTATTCCTTGTCATACAATAATCATGATACCTTTATTTTCCCCAGGACTGGGAGTTGCATCAAGGGTCTTGTTATGGTTTAGATGTGAGGTGTCCCCCCCCAAACTCATGTGTGAGACAATGTAAGAAGGTTTAGAGGAGAAATGATTGGATTATAAAGCCTTAACCCAACATTGAATTAATTCCCTGATGGGCATTAACTGAGTGGTAACTGAAGGCAGGTAGGGTGTGGGTGGAGAAGGTGGGTCCCTGGGGGTGTGGCCTTGAGGTATGGTATATAGTTTGTATCTGGCAAGTGGAGTCTCTCTGTTTTCTGATCGTCATGTGAGCTGCTTCCCTCCACCACACTCCCCCATGATGTTCTGCCTCACCTTGAGCTCTGAGAAGTGGAGCTGGCCTTCTGTGAACTAAGACCTCTAAAACCGTGAACCCACAAACTTTTCCTCCTCTAATATTGTTCTTGTCAATCTAAAACAGGTCTCATACATGCTAGGCAGGTGCTCTATATGACCTATACCCTCAGCCCCTTTTTAGGAAAGCCACTGCCCATTTCAGATGGGATAAAGGAAGAGGGGTTAGGGGAAGAGAGAGGGTGGGGAGCAAGATGGAGGCAAATGGTGGAAGGGCTTGGGTGAGCCTTCACATAATCCTCTCCTCCCCTCCATGTGGCCTCCCCACACTTCCTTCTCAGAGACTCAAGCTTCACTGAGCAAGGTGTGAGAGCTAGGGATTCACAGGCAGCTCAAGGGAGATTTTTGGTGGCAGCAGCAGCAGCAGCAGTGTTTGGCAACTCCACAGGAACATAGATCTGGGAAGCCCAGACTCTGTACCCTGCATGTCCCCAGAACCCACAAATGGGGAAAGATCAAGACTCAATATTGTCTACTAATGGACTCAGTTCAGGTCAGCAGCATTCTGGGAGTGTTGGGTCACTGTCCATGGTGCTGAAGGTCAGACTTAGCTGGAGATAAACGTGCAAAAATCAATAAGAGAGAAAGGCATTAATCCATTCATGCAGACTCTGCTGCCCTGACCCAAATATCTCCCATCAAGTGCTCTTCCAACACTATTGTAATGGCAAATTTCAACTTGAGTTTCAGAGGGAAAAAAACATATTGAATCTACAGCAACACAGTAGCTGTCATAATGATTTGATAATACTACATAATACAATAATATTTTACTTGAGCCTGACAGAGCATAAGCTCTTAAGAAATTTGTGTTGAGGCCTAGGAATACAGCTCAGCAACAGAGTGCTTGTGTTGCATGACTAAGACCCTGATTTAAATCCCCAGCACTGCAAAAACTAAATAAACAAAAAGGAATTTGTGTTGAATAAAGAGCAAAATATCAATATAAACTGGGTGAAAACTGCCTCCATCCTATATCGGATATAGCATAGTTATAGTTTTCATAGTTATAGTTTTCCTTTTCCTCTACAAAAAAATTTGAGTCCCAAAATATATGCAAAGTGCCATCCCTCTTCTATTTTTTACTCTCTGTCCCATTCCTTTCCAAGTGCAGGAGCCACCCCCACTTTTTAATTTTTTTGGCCAAATTTTGTCTAGAAATATTTCAATCCACTTAAACTGCATGAGAGTAAAGGAATAGCTAGGACCTAGATCTTGAACTAGTCAAATCGGCAATCCAGCATTATAATGTAGTTGATTGGTGGGAGTATGGAGCAGGTTTCCTTTTGCCTAGGCAATAGGAAGGATAGGGTCTAAAAGTAAAGCAGACTTAGCTGCCCCCTTGTTCCTTTTTTTCCTAGATCTTACCATCCTAGTCATAAATGAAACTCAATAGTGCCCAAGGGGAAAGAGGGGGAATGAAGACTACCTGGAACTGCTCTAAACCACACACCTAGAGTTTCCCATGGAAGGTCATTTCTTCTTTTTTTTTTTTTTAAGAGAAAGAGAGAGAATTTTTTAAATATTTATTTTTTAGTTTTCAGCAGACATAACATCTTTGTTTGTATGTGGTGCTGAGGATCGAACACAGAAGGTCATTTCTTAACAGAGGCAGTCCCCAGTACACTTTATCTTACCTTAAAAGCCAGCATATGAAGAAAAACAGATGCTCAATAATTCTAAGTGAAAATGTTACTTGCCATTGGATGCCAGTCCTTTTTAAAAATGTTTATTAATATCTTTTTAAAATTCTTTGTTTCATTATCTTTTAAAAACGCCTATGTTGTTGTTGTTGTTGTTGTTATCCAATTGTAAGGAAATAACTTATGAGATAATGATCAGGGCCACGACTTCGTAAAGATTCAAGAGTTAAGACTTGAGAAAAATATAGACTTTGGGATTAGATCTAGGCTCAGATCCCAATCTCAGCTTGCTCTGTCCACATGACCTAGAGTAAATGAAGCTGTTTCCTTGTTAACACATATGTACAAAATTGCTGTAAGAAGTAGAAATAATACAAGAAAAAGTGCCTGGCTTGCAGGGCACAGTGGTGCATGCCTGTAATCCTAGAGGCTGGGGAGGCTGAAGCAGGAGGATTACGAGTTCAAAGCCTCAGCAAAAGCAGGTGCCAAGCAACTCAGTGAGACCCTGTCCTTAAATAAAATACAAAATAGGGCTGGAGATGTGGCTCAGTGATGGAGTGTCCCTGAATTCAATTCCCAATAGCAAAAAAAAAAAAAAAAAAAAAAAGCATCTGGCTCATAAAAATTACACACACACACAAAAAAATGGTCATTACTTAAGACAGTATAACAGTATAATGAACAAAATTTGGCTTCAAAACCCCTGGCTATTCTCACTTTTGCTGATAACTTCTATCAAGAACCCTCTCTTTGAGTTTGCTTCTTTTTATGTTAAATGAGCATAACAGCTATATTATCTAGCTCAAAATATTAGAACATCTAATGAGCATATTAAGTGCATTGTGAAGTATAAAAATGTTTCACAACTTAAATACTAATATATTTTACTGTGATTTTTCTCTGACAGATTTTTTAAAAATTGCCTTCTTTTTTGCCTTATTGCATATAACCTTATCTTGAGGGTTCAAGATCATTCTTGTCTGTGATTATTTTTTCTATTTACTTAGCCAAGGACTGCTTTTTAAAAAATAGCTTTTAAATTGTTTACCTCGATAAGATATACATACAGTTATGCATTTTGACCAACGTAAGTGTCCTATTTAGTGGCATTAGTACAGCTGCACTGTTATGTAACCATTGCCATCCATCTCTAGAATTTTTAAATTACCCCTGAAAATCTGTACCCCTTAAACACTCCCTATTACCTGATGATTGCTACCTTTTTGCTGTTTTCTTCTCTATATTTTGTTGCTTCACTCATGTTAGCAGCAAAAAAAAAAGCTCATTTCTTCTCCTACCATTACATTGATAAAGTATATTCCACTAATTTGGTCTCAATTTTTAAGTTTAACTTACATTTAAATTACATTAATTACATGAGTTTTCAATTAAACCTCAATGACTCTTTTGACTTTAAAAAAAGGGGAGGGGAGGCGGTAATCATCCAGGCAATAATCATTACTCACATTCGCACTTACTGGCAAGAATCTGCAAAGTTATCTTTTTCTTAGCTCCCTGTGTTCTTACTGGCCATCACTAGAGAGAACAAGGTGTAGTATGCACCTAGCCTTCTTCTTTAGGGACATGTATGGAGTAAGAGCAAAAATTCCTTTGCATCCTTTTTCCATAGCATAACTCCAACTGACGATTACTGCTGCTCCGCTTCTCACTGGCGAAGCCTCTCCTGGGGAAAAGTGGCAAGGGAGGAAATTGCAATGGGACATGATTTTACAAGGGATCCTTCCACCCAGGATGCGCTACAGCACAGCCGATATTCCAATCGCGAAGGGGACTGTATTCCTCCCTACTTTTTCTCTTTCAGAGGAGAACTACATGCAAATTTAATTGATTCTAGGTTAAAATAAATAAATAAATATAAATATTATATATATATAAAACTTATATTGCTCTACAATCCACGATCCCTGTTGCTATTTCATTCTCTTCAACCGCCCCCTTGAAAATAGTGTTAATTTTCATTTCAGAAAAGAGGAAAGTGCTCTTACTCTCTCTTACTCTCCCCCTCTCCTTCCCCCCCCCCTCTCTTCCCTCCTTCTCTTCTCTCTTCTCTCTC